TAAAATTAGTCTGGAAACACAGATTAGTCATTAAATATAAGTTATGGCTACAAAGTTAAGTGTATTTCATTCAAGACTCTTAATAATCTATAATAAAAAATTCAGGAATTTCAAGTTATAAAAAGTGTTAAGATGAAAACAACAGAAAAGAGGAAATGATGGGGGTTTCTGTAACAATGGCCAGTACAGGAAAAATATGTGTAAAAAATGCCTCAACCAAAATGGAATTTCTGAAATAACAACAGTTTCAAACTTATCATCAACTTGAATAAAAATTACTAGTTGACAGCATTATACAAAGAAGGACTGGATGGATGTAGATTGTATTTTCTATAGAAGACACCCTACCAGATGATAACTTGGGAATCAATCAAGAAAAGACGATATATGCTCAAAGATAGGTGCTCAAAGAAACTCATTGTTTACCAAATTTCTATTTAGAGAGAGCACATGCTGCACAAGGCAGTGTTTCTCAAAAATGAGAAATACATAGTCTCTTTAAAGTGAAATTCACCAGGTTCTTAATGCCATATTATCTAATAGGTACAAACATAAAATTATAAAATTAGGTATAGTGCATTATTCTTAAAACTCTTATAAGATTAAAAATTTTGAAGATAACAAACCACTGCTATTTAAATAAAACAATTTAAATTATAAAATTTTTTACTAAAATTGCTAATGTTGTCTTTAAGGTTGGGTGATGTTTCTTCAGATCTGGTTCTGTATTCTAAACATCAATGTTACTAATATGAACACTGCCTCTTTACAGAAATAGGCTGTAAAAATTGCACTAAAATTCATTGAGTTCTTTACTTAAGATTGCTGTACTTTAGAAAATTAACTTAAAATAGTTTTTACAATCTAAAAGCTTTGTTTGACAGCATAGTATGATCACACTTATTTAACAACATCCTGGTCAGAAACAATTTTTCAGTGCCTAATTTAATAAAGTGTCACTGCTAATATTACAGAACTATTTTAAGATAAATTTGAATATTACTATTATTTAAATCAATACTCACTAAACTGATTGGTGAAATTTGAATGAAGGTATTTAACACCATAAAATTCTTACAAAGAGGTACATATAGAAATAGGTCTGGCCACTTCAAACTCAATATAGTACTAAGCTGCAATGTATGTTCTTTGGGGTTCATGATCTCTTTATTATCATATGATATATTATAAATTAATTCTCTTTGAACTACTATGACAATTTCAGTTTCACATTACACCATGACAGTTTTTGCAGTCCCTAGCCAAGAAGGTGAAAAGAATACAAATGCACAGCAAACAATTACTCTGAAGTCACAAGTCAGTACTTCGATGTAGGCAGTCACTGAGCTTATTCATAATATCTTTATGTTAAATATCTATAATCAGAAAAAACACAATTTAAAACTGACAGGGAATTTTTGCCATACTTATTACCTTCTAACATCTTATATAGTTTACTTTTAAAAAATTATTTATCTCTTCAATGCCCACAAAAATATAAGTTCATCAAGTAGCAACATTTTTTAGCTCTTTTTATCATTATGTAGCTAAAATGCCTAGAACAATATCCAACACACAATAATCACTCGATAAATATTTTTTGAAAGAATGAAAACTTTATCATAAAATGACATCTGGGGATATTAAAATCTTTCAAGATTCCTGGATTGAGAAATATTGGCATAGGGGAAAAAGCATTGGCTTAGGAGCTGGAAAACCTTGAGTTCGTATTTTCGCTACGAACTCTTATTCTGCTGCTTACTAGCTCCATGTCACTGTGCAAATTACTTACATTTGAGAGTATGTTTTCTTTCCACCAGTAACATGCAAGTCAGTTAAAAATAGGGTCAATGGTTAATGTACAAAGTATATTAAACCAGTAGATTCAGAGATAATTGCTAGCTATTGATTGATTGATTGACAGATCTTTCTATGTAGTTCAGGCTGACCTTGAACTTAACTGTGTAGCCCCAGTTGGCCTCAAACTCACTATAACTGTTCTGCCTCAGTCTTCCAAGTGCTGAAATTACAGGCATATGACACGCCATCTGGTAAGATCATTGTTATTACTGTTAGAGTTGTCACAGAAAAAAATTTTAATCAAGTGAGAATAAGCTTTCCCATATTACCATAATTTTTTCTCTCCCTTCTTTCATCTTATTCATAAGAATATAAAACAGGAAACATGTTTAGAATAAATAAAAAAGCAAAAAGGAGTAGAATATAAAACTGCTACCAAAACAAATGGATAAAAATACTGGAAGATGTTTTCAAAATAATCATTTGTGAAATATTGAAAGAATTTGGTTATAATAGCCTTGTAAAACAAACCAAAAACAAAGCACCTGCTAGAACACAGAAATAGATGAAATATATGAAACAGAATGAAAATTATTGTGTGAACTCAGATGCACATTGAGTTAGTTTTCTCCCCAATGCCTCACCATTCATGTACACTTTATCCACCTGCCTTCTTACTACTTGCAAGCTCTACTTGGCTCCTCAGGAACTTTAACCCTCAGGCCAACCCTGAAGGAAGAATTAACCTCCTTATTGAACCCTTAGGCAGTGTGCATGGCTAGGAAGCTGGGTATTTAGGGAACACAGAGAAATGATCTCAGCACTTTAGAGCAATATCCCATAACTACAGAAGGAAGAGGTTAAAAATGATTTACTATATTTTAAAAAGCCATATTTATTTCTTGGTTTAAATTTTGCTGCCAAATGAAATTCACAAAAACACTTTGGAAATACAAGTAGATTTAAGATCCGTTTCAGGTGAACCTTATTCATTTTTAAAAGGGAAGATAAAATGCTAAATTTTAGGCATTACATATCATTAGGATTCACAGTTATGCACACATGAAAAACAATTTGGGATGGCTACATTCAGTCTTGAAACAAGCCATGTTCCAACAATAAACAGAGACTGGTAGATAAAAATGGAATTTCTCTCTAACATTTTAATAATAAAAATAAATGTACTAAATATGAAACACATACCTGAAAATAATTCAGGTGCTAACAGTTGAGCATACACAGTTCCATAAACTTTGTTGCCCTTACTTGACACCTCATTTTATCAATGTGCAGCTTCCTGATCTTTATTCTTAGCATGTAGTACAAATTCTTAACCAACCTCCACTTAGCAGATTCACTTTTTATTCTCTCTATAAAAGTATGATTGTTATTCATCTTGCTGAAGGCTCATTGCTTAATAAGCTATCCTCCAGCAAGGTAAGATACTTCTTCCTCTAGTTAATCAGAAACTTACCAAAAAGATGATTTGTATTTGTTTTCAATACTGCTTTTAAATGTTGACTTTGTTGTACAAAGTCTAAGTAGTTACATAAAACTGACATAGTATGTGTGCAAAAAACCCTGATATATTATGTGGCCTATAAAAACAGCAATAAATTAAGCCCTAAATTAACTCAGTAAAGAAGTACCTAAAATTAACTTTAATTAAATATGAGGAGACACTAGAAAAGATTATAAGAACATTTGCAAATATCTGAAAGTATTCTATATTCAAGTTGTTTAAAATGTCTTTCTTTCTCCAAAGAAATCAGATTAGGGATCATAATCATACATTAAAGGGTTTTTTTGGGGGGAGAGAATTCAGAGCACTATTCAATAACCTGTACTAAAAGATCTTGGCAGATGTTTACATCTAAAGCTTGGTGAATGAATTCAATCTATATTTCAAAGAAAGTAAAATGCCTATTAACATTTTATTAGTCCCAGCTATAACCAACTTTTTAAGCTAACTGACCAATTATAGGTCTCAATTGTATTATTTAAGAGAGATCTACTCTATTAATCTTGATTGTTATCCATCAGTCTCAGAATACTGGAGTCTTCTGACACCAGGTGTGCCTACCACTCTTAAAGCCTATTTAAATCATGTGCTAAAATGCCATTCACTTGTCACAACCTAAAACTTTCTATCTGAATTTAAAACTTTATTTTTATTTTTTTATCATATTCACCATTTTTTATTAGTCCAAAGAGATGGTAACCAAAATACAAGTAACTCAGAACCCACAATAACAACTAACAGTACCAGAAATAAGGTTAAGATGGTTACTAAAACTACCCAAGCAGCCAATTTTATTGGTATTGCATTACAAATACCCTAACTTTAAAACAATAAGCTAATATTTGAGCAACCTTTCATAATTCTACTTTATAAAAGGAGGTTTTTAGTTTCTAAGCTGATGTGATTTACATCAAAAAGCTTACAAAAGGCTAAAGCACAAAAACTTCGTTCATCTTCTCAGTGGAGAATACAGTTGACAGTCTCCAAGTCTCTGGAACTGTAATGTTCTTGCAAACATTTAAGTTTCAATTCACAAACATGAGTCACTAGAAATCTTTTATTTATGACAGTTACACCCAAGATAAGTTAAAATCAGTCCTCACCCCCTTTTATTAATACTGAAGGAAAAAGACAAAGCTATTGCTGTACCACTGTAATAAATCCAGACACAACATATCTGTTTCAAAGGTTTCAATTATTATAACTACAAGGTGAACTTAACAGGTATTTTGGGGTTCTTTCTTGGCTGTGCTTGACAGCTAAGAAAGGCAGCAAGAACTTAAACTACTGGAGACAGAATCACTTAAAAGAGTTAACTTACACAGTTTTTCTCCAGGCATTAAAATGCCCTCCAAGGTAAAGTTATAAAACATTGCTATAATTTAAGCAAAAATTAAATGTTAAGTGATTTCACATAAGACAAAAATAATTACTGGAGAAATAAAGTTTACAAATGTATCAAAATATCACATTTACTCCAATTTTCATTTTTTTCACTTAATATAGTCAATTCCCATACTTATTTTTAATTTGTTTTTTTTTGTACCGGGGATTGAACTCGGGTCCTTGTGCTTGCGCAGCACGCAATGAAACCACTGAGCTAAATCCCTGGCTCCAATTTTTAGAAAAACCACTTCATCAATTTTTGTCTTCCTTATAGCAGGCAAAACAGAAATATATGGAGGAATTCCAGAAGGGGAATTTAAAGAGTTTTAAAGAAAAACTGGTTCAATTCAGGAAAAACCACCCTGATCTAGTCCAGAACTCCAAAAAATCTGATGGTTCCAAGAGACACCGAAACAAAGCCCCAAAGAGTGTACAAGGAAATGTGAAAAATGAGAGGTCTCCTTCAAAAACTGATGCATTTTGCAAGAATTTTAAATTTCATAAAGAGCCCAAGAAACCCCCCATGAGTGGATATAACAAATTTCATCAAGATTCATGGTCAAGTAAGGAGCTAAAACATTTGCCCCTGAGGGAGCGAATGGTAGAGATTAGCAGACGCTGGCACCATGTGCCCCAGAACTTGAAAGAACATTATGCAAAGCAGGCTGAGGAGCTACAGAAACAGTACAGGGTGGATCTGGATCTCTGGCTCAAGGCTTTGTCACCTGAGGAATATGCTGCATACAAAAAGAAAAGCCAAGGTAAAGGGAAGAACATGACCACGGCAGGAGGCGCAAGCCCCAAGTTCAGAAAAGCAGACATGCCATCCTCACCAGCCAAGTGCCTGCCAGAAGGACTTAGAAAGGAAAAGGGGCTGGAGGCTCTAGAGACAGATTCCTTGGAGACAATCCAGAACAACTATCATCACGCACAGGGATCAAAAAGGAAAATGAAGGAAGATGGGGAAGAGGATGAAGCAAGAAACTTCTCAGATTCCAGCAGTGGAGATGAACATGAAGATGGTAGTTTATCTTCCTGAGCAAAATCCTCAGACATCTGAGCTTTGTTCACATCTTAAATTGTTATTGAGTGCCCACCAAATTCCAGGCATCCATGTCAAAGGCTGGAAACTTCCTCCAGCACCCTTTTTTCTTCGTACTTTTTACCCTTCCTCTTTCTACCTCTTCCTTCTCAGTACAAAGGAGTATAGGTGGGAAGATGGGAATTCAAAGAAGTACTTTCTATATAGATAATATAAACCTCAGAAGCAGTAGCCCTTCTGCAAAAATAAGTATATATTAGCTGATGTTGCCCCACATTATCCCCCAACACCATGTGCAAAGTATTCCACTTAATTAAATCTGTGAATATAAACATTGAGATGCTTGGGCTGTGGGAAGTGGGTCACAGTAGCCAAGAGAGAGTGGTTCTGAAGTTTTGCTCTCACGAGCTTGTGCCTTTTGCCCTTCTCCATGGAGTTTTCCCTCAGGACTCTTGCACTGATTCTAGGGTGAGGAGTCATTGATGGGACATGGGGTAGGTGGTTTAGGAAAATCTACAAACTCCTGGTATCTCTCCCTATTCCTTGGCGTCAGAAGTTGGCCATTCCCTGCCCTTGGAGTTGACAAACTTATGCAGTTGACAGTATTTCTGTAGGTACTAACTACTGTATTTAACTCTCAGCTCTCCATGAGACTTC